TTTTTTTTTTTTTTTTTTTTGAGACAGAGCCTCAAGCTAGTGCCTTGGGTAGAATGCTGTGGCATCACAGATCACAACAACCTCCAATTCCTGGGCTTAAGCAATTGTCTTGCCTCAGCCTCCCAAGAAACTAGGACTACAGGTGCCCACCATAATGCTTGGCTATTTTTTGGTTGTAGTTGTCACTAGCAGGCCCAGGCCAGATTCGAACCTGGCAGCTTTGGTGTGTGTGGCTGGCACCTTAGTTTCTTGAGCTACAGGCCCTGAGCCTCCCAGCTATTTTTTAGAGACAAGGTCTTGCTCTTGCTCAGGCTGGTCTTAAACCTATGAGCTCAGACAGTCCACCTGCCTCAGCCTCCGAGTGCTGCTAGGATTACAGGTGTGAGCCACTGTGCCCAGCCTAATGATCTTTTTAGACTGTTTTCAACCTCCTTTTACTTACTGAAAAGGAGACAGTTGTAGTTGCTGTTTAATAGGGTTCACAGACAGGGTCTCACTGTCTTGCCCAGACTGGAGTACACTGGTACGACTATAGCTCACTGTATCCTAGGAGGGGTTTTTCACTGGAGAAGTCATTGAACTAAATATCAAAAATCTGGATTTGTCCTTTGCTTTTGGCATCCCGTGTCCCATCTCAGATCCTATTTACCCTTCTTGAAAATGAGTCAAGGACACAATAGGTGGGGCCGCTAACATCTATCTGTTAGGTACTGACTGAGAAGTCCTTTGGGAGTGTAGGATCTGATTGGTTGCTGGATCAGAGTGTAGGATCTGCTGATTGGTTGGTTGGTTAGACCTTTGGCCTGGGAGGCCTTCCCGTTCAGTGCTAGGCAATGATACTTTCTTTTCCTCTCCACAGAGGACGTCACCCCCATCCCCTCTGACAGCACCCGCAGGAAGGGGGGTCGCCGTGGTCGCCGTCTGTGAACTGGACTCCTCATATTTTGCGTTAATAAATTGCCATGGTATAAATAAACTATTTCAACTCTAGTCTTTTCTCCTTCATGTAGGGGCCACTTAGGGATGTTTGATTCCTTCCTCTCATCTGGTTTGATCAGGGCATGGGACTGACTTGAGGTCACAGGTGCAGTGGTAAAACAGCAGCAGAGCATACCGCTTCAGAGGATGAAGGTGACCTATCATGAGGGATTGTTCCAACCCTGACGTGGGACAGTGAGTCTGTGGTCGGGAACTGGCTTCCTCTGAGAAGCAGCTTGAGGAGAGGTGAGATACTGGTGCTACAATTGAGTCTTTTCCACTTTAAGTTGCCTTGGTCATCTAAAGCGGACCAAGGCTTATGAGACCTTGTTTTGAAACCGAAGATGCTGGTTCTAAAAACGGACCAGTTTAAAGAGCCAGAGCAAGTGGGAACTGTTGAGCAGAAGAGGAGCCTTCCAGACCTGAGCCATATATAACACACGTGGGTGTGTGTTCTCCCCCCACACCTTCTGTGCAAGGGTAGCTCACTCTACTGTGTCTTGCTTTTTTTCACTTGGCAGATCTTGGAGATGGTTCCACATCAGTACATAAAGTACATAAAGATTCAGTCACCCACAAATACACACCAAGTCCTATTTTCATCAGCAGTAAAGATAAAGTTCTTGCTTTCCAGAAGCTTGAATCTAGCTCCAAGGACCCAGTGATGGTACTGTGTTCTGCAAGGGATTGCCACAGGACCCTGTGACGGCGACTGCAATGGTTGGGAGAGACAGGATGGGCTGACGGACTAATAGGATTAGCCAGGCGCAGTGGAGGCAAGAGGGTGCCGAATGTCCTAGGCTGGACAGGTGAAGGCATTGGGAATACAAGGTGGAAGCAAGTTGAAAAAACAGCAAGAGGGCGAGGTTTAGGGATCCTATTATTTAGGCATAAAGTGAGTAGCATGTTTTCAGGCAGCAGGAATAAGCAAACAGGTTCTGAGAGAAGTGTGGGTTACTGCAATGCATTGGTTACATGCTCAACCCTGCTAAGCCTTTTAACCTCGTTGGATTTTAAACCTGACAGAAATTACTGTCACCTCACATAGTGCTACTAAAAACCAGCATTAGAAAGTCATTTGGCAGAGGTCATAGCTTTTAAAGAGGATAGTGGTTCTGACTCCTGAGCTGCCCCCCCGCTTTTTTTTTTTTTTTTTTTTTTTGGAGATAGAGGCTCACTGATGCCTTGGATAGAGTGCTGTGGTGTCATAGTTCATAGCAACCTCAAACTCTTAGCTTCAGGTGATTCTCTTGCCTCAGCTTCCCAAGGAGCTGGGACTACAGGCTCTGGCCACAAGGTCTCACTAATTTCTTTTTAGTAGAGATGGGGTCTTGCTCTTGCTTAGGTTGGGCTTGTACCTCTGACCTCCAGCAGTCCACCTGCCTCAACCTCCCAGAGTGCTAGGATTATAGGCGTGAGCTGCCTTTTTAAATAACAGCTTCAATAAAAGGGATACATTTGCCAAAAGAAACTCATACTGTGTAAGTCAGGGGTCCTCAAACTTTTTAAGTGGGGCCAGTTCACTGTCCCTCAGACCATTGGAGGGCCGGACTGCAGGCCCTGGAATGAGTCGGCTGCTAAGCAAGACAGGCAGTGGCAGCAAAAACACCTGGTAGGCCAGATAGATGTCCTCTGTGGGCCGTAGTTTGAGGATGCCTGATCTAAGTGGTGTGGTTTCTAGGACTATATTCAGATTCAGATTGTGCAACAATCTCCCCAATTAATTTTAGGGCATTTGCACCCACATCCCAACGCATGAAAACAAATCAGTTAGCAATCACTCCTGCCCTGGGCAATCTAATCCATTATGGCTTTGCCTGTTCTGGGCATTTCAAATACAGATGTGCATTGATTGCTTAACTATCGGGATGTGTTCTGAGAAATGTGTCTGGTGGTTCGGTGATTTTCTCTTTGTGCAGACTGTGCTTATACAAACCTAGATGGTATAGCCTATTGCTTCTGGGCGGTAAACCTGTACAGCATGTGACTACTCAGTGCTGTAGGCAGTTGTAACACAGTGGTAAGTATGTATCCAAACATAGGACAGGCACAGTAGAAATGTGGTTTATGATCTTGTGAGACCACATGGAGCACAAGAGTCTACCTTATGTAGACTCTAATTTAGCATGATGTAAGGTTCACAGACATGGAAACATGAAGCAGGCCTTCATTCCTTTTTATTGCCTAGTGATACTCCCATTGTGTGGACGTACAGACTGCACTCTACAAACCTCCCCTTGGAGGAGCCCTGGAGACCCTGTGGTCTGGGACAAATCAATCCTTTGACTTTGTTTCTTCATCGTAAAATCAAAGAAGAGGTACACATCTTTCTTATGAAAGAGTTCTAAATAATATAAGTAGATATACTTCTCTCCAGTAAGCAGAACTCCCCTGTGTTTCCCAAAGAATAGAATATGGAAGAGGGAAATAGCAACTTTGCTGTGGGGAAACGTAGCATATGCTAACTTAACCAAATTAAGGTTGTTATCACTTGTGAAAAACCACCTTTGTGATATGTTTCCTAAAAACCCCCATACATAGGGTGGCGCCTGTGGCTCAGTGAGTAAGGCACCAGCCCCATATACTGAGGGTGGTGGGTTCAAACCTAGCCCCGGCCAAACTGCAACAAAAAATAGCTGGATGTTGTAGTGGGCGCCTGTAGTCCCAGGTACTCAGGAGGCTGAGGCAAGAGAATCACCTAAGTCCAAGAGCTGGGGGTTGCTGTGAGCTGTGATGCCACAGCATTCTACTGAGGGCAACAAAGTGAGACTCTGTCTCAAAAAAAAAAAAAAGCATACATAACTCAGTCTTAACCTGGGAAACCCATAACCCAAGTAGGTAATATTCTCTAAGATATTCCTCAAATCATGAAAACTTGTGGAAAACAAAGAGATGACCAGAGGAGATTTAGGAAAACATGATAACTCAATACATATGATATCCTGGACTGGATCCTGGAATCAAAAAAGCGTTCAGTGTAAAAACTAGTGAAATCTGAACGGAGTCTGAAGTTCAGCTAGCCAGGTGCGGTGGCTCACTCCTATAATCCTAGCACTCTGGGACGCCAAGGTGGGTGAATTGCCTGAACTCACAGGTTTGAGACCAGCCTGAGCAAGAGCAAAACCCTGTCTCTAAAAAAATAGCCGGGCATTGTGGTGGGCACTTGTAGTCCCAGCTATTTGGGAGGCTGAGACAAGAGAACTACTTAAGCCCAAGAGTTGGAGGTTGCTGTGAGCTATGATGCCATGACATCATGGCACTCTACCCAGGGCAACAAAGTGAGATTCTGTCTCAAAACAAAAATAAAGTTCAACTAGTTGTAATATTGCAATTTTTTTTTTTTAAATTGAGACAGAGTCTCACTTTGTCACCCTGGATAGAGTGTCATGGCATCATAGCTCACAATAACCTCCAACTCTTGGGCTCAAGCGATTCTCTTGCCTCAGCCTCCCTAGTAGCTGGAACTACAGGACCTATCACAATGCCTGGCTTTTCTTTTTCTTTTTTTTTTAACAGGCCTTGGGGTTGGAATCTACCATCCCCAGAGCATGTGGCCGGTGCCCTAACCACTGAGTGACAGGTGCCCAGCCAGCAATGTTCATTTCTATATAAGGTAGGAATAATAGGGGAAAGTGGGTGAGTTGTACATGGAGATGCTATATTATCTTTGCAATGTTTTGGTAAAATTACCCCCAAATCAAGTTATTAGAAGAAAATGAGGAGTGCTTTTATGCTGCCAGTCTGATTTCTAAAAGTAGGGTGCACAAACCATAGGAAACATGCCTAGATGAAAATACTGTTCTGTGGCTTCGGACTGTTCACAGTGGTACTTAACCTCTCGGCCATTTAGTGAAACTCCTGTGGTGACTTCCACCCCATAGGGATCAGAAGATGGAAATGTTTAGCACACTGCCTGGCACTGAAGAAGCTATTCTTATGCCTGTTCGGTTCTTGTGCCAGGCAGCATAAAGGACAGCTGGCTGGAAGCCTGGTGGAGAAGTACCGCAGGTTGCTGGAGCATTCTTTTTTATTTCCTGTGATGGGACTTTGCTGCTTCCTGGTAACCAGGGATGCATCAGCTTGGTCTTTCAAAGCAGTTTCTTCAGCGTTTTGTTTGCAAGGAGAGCCAAGTGGTGGTGCAGCTCAGGTTGGAATATAGCAGCGTATTCGCTGCTGAGGCAAGCAAGACAAGACTGGGTAGGCTGTAGCCCACTTAACACTGAACACCCTGCATACCCACCCTGAGCAAATAAGCCCAAAGCTGGGGGCTTTAACTCTGCAGCCTCAACCAGGGCCCTAGAGATGTCCCCGCTCCTCTCCTGGCTGTCCTTTCCCATCTGAGCTCTTGCAATGGCTCCCTATCTGGCCCCTGCGTATCCCTAGACCACACTTCAAACACTTAAACTGTGGGATCTAAAACTCTAAAACTGAGGGAATGTTGTCACTCCCCTGCCTTTTATCACTGCCCCACCATGCTGTCTTCAGAATGGACCCCCATGTCCTCAGTGTTTGCCTGGCCCTGCCCTCCCCTCACCCTCCTCTCACTCAGGTCAAGCCAAACCTGGGCCCCTCAGGTCTCCCTGCCCTGTGCTCCTTTCCAGTGTGCTGCTGCCCCAGTGTGGATCCTTCAGCCTCTGCTCTCCCCGACTCGTCCACACTGTTGCCTGCTCACCTGCTACAATCAGTTTTTCATCCCACTGTCCAAGTTATCTTCCTGGATGCTCCTCAGGGTGCTCTTCACCGAATTCCTCTCCCACCTCCGTCCCCATGTGTACCATTCGGCACGCCCTAATTCAATAGCCTATTTCCATTCTCCCCCCAATCTGAGCGCTCTGAGAGAGCATGAAGATGTCTTGTTCAGTGTCTGCTGCCCCAGCACCTAGCTTAGGCTTCACAGAGTAGGGGCTTGGAAGAGATTTGTCTGATGAATCATTGAAAGAATGGCTGACTGGACTCCCAACTTCTATAGTTCAGCCAACTACATACAGCAGTGGTTCTCAACCTGTGGGTCG